CGTGAAGATGAAATGAAGGGGTAGACGAAAGAGAACGCATTTGGCACATAAACAGAACAACTCAGTTGTTAATATAACGGTTTGTTAATATGCCTTAAAATAAGAATAAAAAAAACAAACGGAAAAAAAAATGCACAGCACTAGAGAAGTGCGCACATATGAACGCATGCAAAATGTGCATATACATTAGGAAAGGCGGGGGGGTTGTGCTTCCACCACATCTTCTCATGTCCAATTTAGTACAAGCTGATATTCGATATTCTCCAGCCAAAATTTATACCTCTGCAAAATAGGGGAAAAAAAAGGGGGCGGGATGCTTGTCATGATGGCTCACAAAATATAGAGACGTGCAAACAACGTTGAGCAAACAAAATATGCTCGTTTTTAAATACCACATTCTCCAGCTCGGCTTTCTTTTTCTCGTAAAACTTTTTCAAGTCGGGAACGTTGTTCATATTTGTAGGCTCTGAGGGGGGAAACGTAAAAAGCGAACACAGGACGTGAGCGTGCGCGCAATAACAAAAATAAATGCAGTTTCAATGTGCATGTTTATGCGCACATTTAATTGTTCTTCGTTGGTGTTTTTTTTTTTATGTGCAATGTACTAATTGTTCGTGCAACAAATATATATCCGTTCTTATTTTTTGCTATTACGTTTTGCTAGGGGATTTTGGGCTCCCATCAAATTGTCCATTGGGTTATTTTGTGACCTGTCCTTCTCTGCAACATTTTTGTTCACAAAAAAAAAAAAAAAAAAGGTGTTGTCTTTTTGTTCGCACAGAATTTTTGCTCTATTATATGTAGCTATTCGTACTTTCGTTTATTTATTTTATTTTTTTTTTTTTTTGCATACCGTGAAGAACAAAATAATCAATGATGCTTATGAGGCCGTTCGATCCAAACATGACCAGGAAGTACCTGCGATTAAGAGGTGGAGGTTTTGCAGCAAAATAAAATTAGCCATCGCACAGGTAAGAATGACAAAAAAAAACGCTCACGTAATCCCCAACGTGGTATTAAAATGGGTAATTAGAATGGATAAACTCCTTCGTATGCAAAAAAAATTCCAACCATGAAAGAGAGGATACAAATTTCATGTCCAGTAATTCTATATCCATTCCCATCTGAAGGGTTGACTTGAATTTGTACGTCAGGGGGAAGGGAATTTTGGCTGAAAAGGGGGTGACACGCAAACGGCATATACGTGTGTGCTTTGTGTGTGTCGTGTGTGTTGCGTGCCCAGTTGAACACCTGATCACATGCGCAGCAGAGTGTCGCCTATCGAAGCATACCCACTAAGTAGCCAGAAAAGAAGAGATTGATTAAAAACCCTAGACCCAACTGTAACACCAAAAAGGGGATTTGGTTCTTCATCATTCCAAACAGGTCCGACGGATCTTGCTTTAAGAGCGCATCAAACGGATTAACTTGTTCGGGCAAATCATTGAAGAAGCCACCTTGCGGTTTGTTGAAAAAATATTTTCTACTTAAGAACGCTACAGGGCAAATAAATCCATGATTCGTTTTCAGCTGGGTGTACCTAGTTAGGAAATTACTTTGTAAAAAAATACAAGGGGGGAGGGGGGAAAAATGCGTCTCTATTTATATGTACTGTACATTTACTCAATTTGTGCTCATGCCAACTACAACGTGGCAGTGTGCAGGTACACGTAGGAACGCAAAAGTTTGTCTGTATAAATTATGACACACCACAGCAGCATATGCGCCAAAAAAAAAACACAATCGATGAAATGACAATTTTTTTTTTTTGTCTCATTCTACTCTCTTTTACTTACTTTTGCCTCAGTTTCTCAACATCCGCCTTGAGGGTAGGTCTGACCATTTGGCCCAGGTTGCTTTTTATTATACAGACCAAAACAACAATTATGAAAATTGGCACAAGCGCATACATGCGTATTTTTTCGTCCAGCATTAGCGCATCCATTTTTACTAGCTTTTTTTTTTCTGTTCTTATGTCAGTTTTTCTTGATATATGTAAAAACAATTCGAGTGTTCAAATAGCTTAGTCGCGAACTCTCAGCTATGCGTTGCTTAAGCTAGTTGACGCATGATGGGTTAAGTGCTCCTTTTTTGTGATAATATTTTTTCTACGCTTATGTCGCAACACAGGATGAGGTTTGGGTGATGTTCTATTCACTCAAACACAACTACAAGCACAACTGGGTTAGAAGGGAAAAGTCCATCAAAAAGCATCCCTTTTTGTTACGCTCCCCATGCTGCATACCGTGTGATGAAGAAGCAAATGGTGATAAGGGATGAGCGAATTAAAAAAAAAAAAAAAAAAAGCAATAATGATGACATCACATGGGTACATTGATCGCGAAAATGTAACACGTATTTCCAGGAGTGAAACGAACGCAAGTTTCGTTAAAGATTGTAAAGGCTGCGCGACGACAAACAGGTTAAAAAATAAATATGCACTGAACAGTGGGAGGTCGAAATGGAAAACATTTCCTTAAAAATATTTTTAAAAAAAATTCAACCCTAATCAAATTATGAAGTTAAGCAATTGCGTAAGAAAAGGAATGCCTTTTCAAACAATACATCATTAAAATGCACAATTAACGTAAACTTTTTTTTTTTTCTTCTTTTTTTTGTTTTTTACATTATACGGATATATTTCACATGTGTAAATTGTTTGTGCTTGGCTTTTTTACGAAAAAAAGAAAAACGTTTTTACCTTGTAGATTAGTTACAAGTCCAAGTTTACAATGAATTGGGAAAATTGACACGAACGTACGTGCGTGCCATGGAGGTGTTTTTACACGTGCCTGAGCATTACGCCCAGTGGGGGGGAAATGCCAACGGATAAAAAATTTTGTGGTTGGTGTCGGACGAAGTTGTACGCATAGCTGCGTTAACCACGTGAACATATAGAGGTATTAACACAATAGGACGCATTGTAATGGTTTGGATGTTTTTGTATTCGCCTTTGCCAATGTTCAAATGTTTTATGTCGCCCATGTGCTTACCTTCGGATGGTTGCCTCCGTACGCCATATCAAAAGCAATTCTTGTACTTGAGAAAAATTTTGTAAAAAATGTAGGAAAAGGTTAAGGAGCAGATAAGGATGATTAGGACGTAATAAAACACGGGGGGTAACTGATAAATGTAAGGAACCAGTTCGACATTAAAATATAGCCTACACAACCTCTTCAACAAACGGTACATATTCTGTCTGTATGTAATCCCGTTGAAACAGTGGCAAATTTCGATTACGTAAAAATCTTGTAGGTCATCATAATGGATGTAGTCCTGGAAAGGAACCCCTCCATAGCTCCTTCCGCCATTCCGAAATGGGTATATAACTTCATTTTTATAAATTATATAACTATTACTGGTGCTATGTGTAGCGCTTTCTTTCTTATGGCCCTCGCTAAATACAAAGAAGAAAGTGTGGTCCAGTATTTTGTTTATAAAGAGAATGTAGTAATAATGTATTATGTTTGCTACCGTGTTGTAAATTTTACTGTACGGTGGGTTTTCATTTTTCCCTTTTAGGCTTTCCTTTTTTGCACCTGAAATGAAAATACAGCTATTTTCCTCCAGAGGATCGCTATTCAAATGGTCTGTTTTGACAAAATATCTTTTAATAATTGTCTTCGCGATAGAGGTACCATTATGTGCCCCCGTATTTCCACTAAAGTGTACCAGGTCGCGCACATACAATTTGTAAAATGAGCAGTACGTACTGAATGATGACAAATCGATGTAGTTCAACTTTTCATTTATTCCCTTTTTTGTTACTATATAATGTTCTGCCTCATTATAAATTTGTTCTCTTTTTAATTTTCCATTTGGATGTATTATAGACAAGTGATCACTCCATGTGTTAAATAATTTCCCACTACATTTAAGCAGTTGTCTCCTGACGCATTCGAAAGTAGCCTTTTTTTTTTGCTTATCAAATGAACAGCCAAAAGTTGGTGAGTTTTTTCTTTTTTTTTTTTTTAGTTTTATGACCTGTTCAGGTGAAAAAATTCCATCATTAAATTGGCTAAACCAGTTTTTTAATGTTCTTCCATTATGGCTTAACTGGCAGGTTGTAGTTACAATAAAGGAGAGGCAATAAAGGACATAAAAAAGGAGGACACATTTTATAATAACATTTGGCATATTCTTCTCATTAGCTGTAGCAACTTTGGGGGAAAGGAAAAAAAAAGAAAAAAAAAATGTGCGCTCTTCGCAGGGTTATCAATAGGGTTTGCTAATAGAGTCATCACCAAAAAAAGTGTCCTCATGTCCTGCACGTAAACTTTACACAGTGGTGCGATTTATTTGTGTAATATTGCAAAAAAACTGGACCTTTTCCCTCACATCAAAAAAGGTTTATTTTTTCCTCTTAACATTATGAAATCAATCATTTGTTATTGTTACAGAGGAATAAATTGATCGGCCTAGTTACTTTAAATTTTAAAATTTTACAATGGGCTAAGGAGTTGTTGTCGCCTCTCATCAAAACATGTAGACTTTTTTTTTTTCCCCCGTCCCATTAGTATGTTAAAGATGGGAAAACATATACATGCAAAAGGTGAGGCACACAAGCTGATGGCATTGCACAACACAGAATGGTTTTGTTTACCATTTTATGGTGCCATATTTATTTCAACTCTGTAGTGTCAATTTGTCCATTCGAGGGGAAGGTTTGCATGTTTGCTAATTCTTCTATTCTTTTTTTTCTCAAAAAAAAAAAAATCCAGCGACGTGCTTTAAAGGTGCGGGAAAAAAAAAGGAAATTTATCTACACCCCTCTTTAGGCTGATTCTCACGGAAGAAGAAAAAAAAAAGGAGTCAACAAAGATCAGTCGCAGTAGTTCAAGCCGAACGCGCAACCGACGGGAACAGTTCGAAAGCATTTATTCCAACACATAAATAGCAAACATACTGGCCTTTTCATGAGAGGCAAAATGCCAGAAAAATAACAGCCAAAGAAGCATTTGAGAGAAACATAATGCGCCATTCAACTGCAGGTAGCTAAAATGAATGGGCATAATGAAAATAACAGCGACCTGAAGGAACACAAAAAGGAGGAACACACAGCAGAGTGCACTTTAAATGATGAAACTATCATACCCACTTGTATAAAGAATATTTTACAGTGTACACTTGGTGGGGAGGCCGACAATGAACATTTCATAAAGTGCAAGAATGAGGAATTAAACAATTATATAGAAAAGAATATTCCAGGAGGGAGTTCCCATGAGGAAGGAGGCGACTGGAATATATCGGACGATGGTGTGGAATTCATGAACGCAAGTGGCAATAATGCAGGCGACAGCATCAACGGGAATAACTATGGTGAAGTCCTTTTAAACGGCCCGCGTGAACAGTCAAATTTGGAGATGTGTGCAGACGGGCTAGGCAAGGATCCCCACGAGGGTGACAATAGGGAGAGCAAAGAAAATAGGAGGCATAAAAGAAAAAGGCGCTATATTGACGTTGACAAAATGAATTTTGATTTCGAAAAGGAGGATTTTGCTAGCAGTGCCAATGACGAGTTGGTAAGACGCAACTATGTCCATGCGGACGAATACGCCAGTGGGTATGCCAACGGGTACACGAATGAGCTACCATGTCAGAAGGACATTAACATGAACAGTGAAGTAATCAGGGGTCTCCTGGAGCCTCCGCCAATCCCGTTCAATGATACCTTCAGGAAATACAATAAAGAAATAAGTGATGTGTACGTGAAACATAAAAAAAAAAGTAGTGGTACTCTAAACATATTCCTAGAGTCGCAACTCCTGTGCATAGATGAAGGTACATTTGAAAAAGAAAATAACTTTATAAATAACCATTTTGATAATTTTATTATGAGAAAATTAAATGTTGTAAATCCCACCAATGAACAGGACACTACCAACCAAAATAAAGATTTGCAAGAGCTGATCAAATATCTTATGTCCTGGTACTTCTCTGGGTTTTATTCCGGGAGAATAAGCATGTTGAAAGAGTTACATGGTGAGTAACTTTTTGGATTTTTTTTTTTTTTTTTTTTTTTTTTTTTGTGCTCATTGCGTTATCATAAAATGTAACGTATACCTTGTGCTACTTCATGGAGCACCGTCGTTGCATAAGTGCACAGATTAGGCCACCTGCCCAGGTTTACATTTGCAAAAACTCCAAATTGGTTTGTAATTAAAATGTGAAAAACTGTGTATTGTCCACAGTTATACGTACCCCTGTTTTTGCTTATTAATTTGTACCGTGCGTGAATATAAAAAAAGTGGGTCTTTAAATTAAAAGTGAGCAACCACAAGGTGGATAATTCTTTAAAATAATTTCTTAATTCTACGTACACGAGCGGTGTATAAGCGGGGTGTATACACTTTGGTGACAATTCACAAAACTTGTGTGGTTACAACGGCTTTTTCTGCCTTTTCTCTTTTTTTTCTGCCAATCCCACAGCTCCGTTTCTGACGTAGCATCAGAGGAGCTAATCAAGCGCATGTCTATTTAACATGACTTTGGTGAAAATTATTTCTCGCTGTGGCCATGAAATTAGTTATAAATTCCACTGCTGATAAGGATAAATGCTTTTGACCGAGGATAACACAAATAGAACACGGTATTGCAGTATGAGCAAATTGGGAATAAAGTGTGTTACTCTCTAATTTGTGGCATCTTTTTGTTCCATTGAAGTGTGCTGATTTTGCTTGGTGACAGTTACGTTTTTGTAAAATCATTTAGTTCTTTTCGGCTATATACAATGTGGGGAAAAAAAAAAAAAAAAAAAAAAAGCGTTGCACCACCTCCTGACGGTTTTGCGTGTACCTATTTGGTATGTATACACATGTCTGCAGGGTCATTAAAAAAAAAAAAAAAATTACACTACTGCACAGAAAAGATAAAAAAAAAATATATGGACTGCATGTGCGTGATAGATGAGCGGCCACATTATCCTTCCATGTCGTCTATCACAATTTTACTCATTTAAGAAAATAAAAAAAAAAAAACACGCACGACGGTGTGCAACGCCTATGTGACATTTCTTCTTACTTGTCATCCGTCGATATGTGCGTAAATTCGAACAGTGTGAACGCTTTACTCGTCAAATTGATCTTTCCTGACATTTAAGAGAGGCAAAATGAAGAGCACAAACAGGATGAAGACGGAGGCTTTGACGCTAATGGTGAGCAGGGGAATGTGGTGTATAAGCAGGGTGGAAACAACGTAACGCATCTTTGCAACGAAGGCACAGCTTGCTTCAATAGGTGCAAACAAGAAAGGTACACTTCCCCCTCGCGGTGCGCGCCCTTTTTTAACCTCAAAACATGTGCGCATTCCCCTCCTTTCCCCCGCGGGTTCGCAGCATTTAGACGGAAAACGAAAAGACATAGGGACAGGCAACAACATTTACAGAAAAGTTGTTATCAACCCAACATCGGAAGACGACATGCAAAAATTCTGTAGAAATTATTTTCGAATATATAATTTCTCTGTGAGAACTTTTTTTTTTTTTTTTTTCCCAAACTTATACCATTCTCATTTAAATATACATATGTGCATGCGAGCTTTTGTGCGATTCTTCACTTTTCTCTTTTTCAACGAAATGTTACCATATTAAAAATGCTTCTATGTATTGGTAATTTTTTTTTTTTTTTCACTCCCATGTGCAGCTATACAATTTTATACGAAGACTGATATCGCTAGACGCCGTCATTGTATACTCGCTCTTCCTAACCGTTTATGTATTTTCAGAAATTAGCCAAGGGATAACGAAAAAGTATATTTTTATGGATACGGCCATTTCTATGTTTCTAAACATTGCCATTTTGGTAGTCACGGAAACGCTGTACGAGCTGAAGCATCTGAAGGATATAAAGGATGCGAATTCACAGTGCTACCTCAGGATAGTGCCCAAGATGTCTCACTTTGAAAAGGTACCCAGGGGATGTGGGTAGTCCATCCAGCGGTCACGCATGACAACATCGATCACTCGGGAAAACTACCAACTCTCCAATTATAACGACACTTCTTCTCCACATATGATGTAACAATATGTGTGGCAACAAATGCCCCCCCCTGTTCAGGTCACAACCAAAGACATAAAAGTGGGAGACATTATTCGGGTGTTCCAAGGAGACGAATTTCCAGCAGATGCCGTCATCCTTTACGTTAAGAACAATTTGAATGCTATGGTCGATTCATTTAAAATTGACGGATTGTTTAGGAAGAGCATCAAGTACCCAGTGGATAAGTACAAAAGTACGAGCGCATACATTCATCTGCAAAGGCTTCTTTTCCCTTGTGTGATTATATATACTTTTGCAATGGTGAACGCGTTTTAAACATGGTTTAAAAGATTTCATAAACGACACTTTCCCCCCAACCTAGTCGACAGGGACTACCTAAAAATGCTGTCAGAAATTAATGGGTTCATTAGATGCGAACTGCCTAACAAGAATATATTTTGTTTTCAGGGGAATTTCAAGTTAGACAAACACCCGAGGTCGTTAATGCTAAGCTACGAGAACTTCGCTCTCCAATGTAAGGAAGGAACACCATAAAAAGGGAGAGAAAAAAAGAAAAAAAAATGACATTAACGGCCCATTTCTGCCCTTTAGCAGTAAACCTACTGTAACAACCCCAATTTACATACTGACTGCTCTTTTTTTTTTTTTTTTCCCTTAAGCATCCATCCTGAAAGGGGCAGAATACATAGACGCAGTGGTCGTGTACACCGGAGCTGACACAAAAAAAAATTTAAATATTCCTCAAAAAACAGAAGAGAGTAGAACATTCTGTATAAAAATGAACAACGTAGTGTACTACTTAATCTTCATGTATTTCTTTTTTGTCCTCTTGAGTATTATAATAAAGTTGACGTTGTATGGCACACGTTGGTCTCACCAGAAGACGCATGATACCTTCTTAACCGTTTTGGAGGACTTCATTGGCCTATACATTTTGGTGCTGCCGATTATGATTTACTCGGAGAAGAGCCTTATATATATCATTCAGAGTTTGAAAATAGGTGCGTCTAGCATGGGAGAAAATAGAGGCTTTGTGCGTGGGCTTATTTACAAAGCAAATCTTCCACATGCATAGCGCAAAAATGTGTCACACTGTGTGTGTATGAAGGCAAAAATGAATTATGTTCTAACCCTTCGCTGGCATCACCCGTTTATAGAAAACGACCTGCGAATGAAGGAAGGGCCACACGGTGAGAAGCCCAAAGTTTTTAATAAAAACAAGAATGATACGTTAGGAGCTGTGGATCTGCTGGCAACAGCTCGAAATGGAATTCTTGTGAAGAAAAAGGAACTGTTTGTATCGTGCGCTGTGAACAACGTTGTGTATGCCAAATGCGACTTTGTCTATTCGCGCCGGGAGTTTCGCTTGCCCACGTTGAACATCCTCGACGGTGAAAGGTACGCATGGGGGGGAAAATAAGCCAAAAGATGATAAAAAAAGGGATAATGGGAAAAAGAGCGCGTTTCAGCAACAATAAGAAAACGCGATCAACTCATATGGGTTCACCCTCCATGGGGGTGACTCCCAATTTATGCGCGCTAGTAGCTCACTCTGGTGCTTGGTCTCGCCAATTGATTCCGATTTCACACACACATACATACATATATACATGCATTTATGTTCCTTGCTCGATTCTTTAGAAGGAACGTGGCCGAGCTTTTAAACCTGGACGAAAGAATTTTCAAAGACCCCGAGAACGTGCTCTTCCCCTCAAGAGATTTGGGGCTTTTCCTGAAAATATTCCAGAACAGTATTTCTCCGATTTACAACCCGTTCGTGGATGACTTGTCGAAGGTGTTGAGGGAGAGATATAGGACTTACTTGAATGAGGAGATTTTGAACAAGAACGTCAAGCTGACGCCGTTCATAAAGTCTAAACTAAATGGGGGCTACAACCGTACGGCAGATGTATATATGTATACGAATGCTTACATGTGTGCATTTGTACGGAGAGAAGGTGCCTCCTCTTTAATACAGTGTTCTCCTATTCGTGCAACTCTACTAAAAAAAAAACCATTTTTTCACCCCCCTCCGTTCACTTCACCCCTGAGAGCAGAATTTTACGAGAATTTCAAAAACAACTACAACTGCAAAGAGGTGATAGAAGACGCGCAGAGGGGAGAGGACCAGGCTGACAAAATAGAAGAGTTCGTTTTGGGAATATGCGGATGCAACCGGGTCATTATCTACAACGAGAAGTGTTTAGACATGGGCATGAAGGAATATAAAAGTGAAAGTTACAGTGACGCATATGTCAAGTATGAAAAAGAAAACAATAATGAAATGGAAAATGAGAAAAATGATAAACATGCAGAAAAAACCGATGAAGAAAATTTCCATACAATCGAATATGAAGATATATGCTTATACAATATTGTGAAAAATATAGGCTATGATGTGTACTGTTACAAGAACAGATTATTTTTTTATAATTTAAAAAACGAATGCCAAGAATACCATTTGATATGTTTTCACGATTTTTTGAAGAGCAATAAATTCTCCATGTGTATTTTAAAAGACACAAAGGAGTTAGACCATGATATCCTCTACGTCCGTGGTTATGACTTCAATATTCTTCCCTACTTATCGCTAGCCAAAAATGATATAAACAAAATAAAAAAAATTATAAAAATGTATACTATGAATTATTTGAAGGTTATTCTGATCTGCAAAAAGGTGATTAAAAATGAGGACATTGGAAAATATCTCCTTTTGAAAAGCATCCGGAATGGTAAGAATAGCAGGTTGTCCTTTAGGCTGTACGATTTAATGAAAATATTTCTTCTAAACAATTTGGAAGTAGTTGGCATGATTGGATTGAAGAACGACTTGAGAGAAGGGGTAGAGGAAACTTTTCTCGATTTGGCTAAATTTGATATTCGCTCGTGGATATTTACAAATGAGTATCCCAAGGACACTTACCTGACAGCACTAGAGTGTAATTTGATTGCCTCCAATTCCAACCTATTTGTAATTAACTTTTTTAATGCACAAGAGGATGAAGGGGGAGGCCACATGCACAATGGTGACCACACGGACAGTGCGAACAGCGCCAATCACATTGAGAAGGAGGAACGTGTGGACAGCATGGATAATATGGCCAATGTGCTCTTCAACAATTTTACCCTCTCGCTGGATAAGCTCAACTCTACATCTTACGCCATTGTAATAAACGACGCTAGTATAAAAAATATAATGAGCAGTGCGTATGCCATGGTGAGTCCATCTCTGCGTGTGACGGGCACGTGCCCCTCTCTACATTTCGTTGATGATGGTGTGGGTGACCTAAAAATGGGGAAATATCCTCCGTATACATATTCATGCACGATGACTGTTGTAGACTCATTTGCCACCCCTCTACCCCTTCCCCCCCCCCCCCATACCAATTATAAAAACACACTGCAGAAAATGTTCCTTTGCATAGCCATGCGAGCTACGGTCGTTTTATTTTGCAAGATGGACAATGAGACCAAGGGAAGAATTATAAAAAAAGTGCTCTCCCTAACTACCCCCCGGTTGACCATCCTAGGGGTGGGGTCGACCCTAAATGACGCCTACCTATTGAAGAATACCACAATCAGTGTGTGTCTAAGTTTGAACGAGCAGGTCAGTGTGCTATATAGCATATCGGATTACGTACTGCAGGAGTTTAGGTACATTATCGACCTGCTTATATTGGGACGGCTGAACAAAATTTCCCTGAGGTAATTAAAAGAAAGAGTTCTCTCCACCATAAAACAAGGGGGGACAATGAGCGGGTTCATCTAAGGGCACATTTGAGTTGGTTAAAAGTGATGGTGTAAACCTTGTTTTTCTTTAGTACCCGTTCGCGGCGCTTCATATATTGTCTTCCCCCCCTGCAGCCGGTCCTTCCTTTGGATAATATACCTGAAAATTACGATAGTCTCGCTGTACTTTTTCCACAACTTTGATAATTTCTTCTCCGGGTCTTCCACATCGTCCATTTTGTACACCCAAACGACCTTTGCCGTTTTTCATTATTTGCTCATTATAGCATTTTCTGCCTATGAAATAGATTTGCCCTACAAGTTTATCAGGAGCGTCCCCTACATCTATCAATCTGTAGGGTTCCACTGTGCATGTAGCGAACATGTTGTAGGCATTCAGCGTCGTTTGCTTTATGAGCAGTATAAACTACGCGAGATATGCACACAAAATCAGTGCCAATTGATTACACCCTCCGTCGCCCCCCCTTTCTGTTTTTAATAGGCTAGAAGAAAGTACATCCTAAACAACACGATAATCATTTTAACCATCGTGGAAGCCATGCTGATTTCGCTTATCTCGTATTACATCCTGAGGGTGCATGTCTTCCCCCTGATAACACATAGAGCATTCACCTTCCACATATTCATCCTAAATTTTTTTATCACATCGGAGAAAATTTTGCTGCTCTCCAGAACATGGCACTTGTACTTCTTCATCTTGGCAGTTCTGATTATCTGCTTCCTATTTATATACGTAAATGTGTACACCTTAATTGATTGTTTGAAAATAGGGACGTGTGAATTGAGTCTGTTCCACACGGAGGACACATACTTTTGGCTGTCTCTTCTTCCGATTTTGTATATAAACTTTTTTATTGACAAGGCGGCGAAGTTTATCAACAACAGGTGCGTTCCTTCACACACGGTTCATCATGTTCGCTAGGGATGGAGTTAGCTGCCCTGTGTGATCATTATTAGGAGAGCTCACCCATCTTTTTTTTTTTTTTTTTTTTTTTTTTTCGTTCCGTCATTCCTTCCGATACACCTACCCAACCTTTGCAGAATTTACCCCGACATAACAGACTACTTCCGGGAGAAGATACTGAAGAGAGACAAGAAAGGATCCTCAAGGGAAAACACAACAGAGGGTAGAACAAGTGGTAATGTAAAGGAAGTAGCGCATGGTCCATTGAACCTGGATGCGAATGCAAAGTTCAAAAAATTCATCCCGACGCCAAAGCAGTATTGCATAAAAGACAACAACAACGCGTACTACAACAGGACGAAGAAAACGAAATTCATCTACGAGACCTTCAGAAAAGTTATAGGTATAAATATAAAGTACCGAAATCAGCAGTTAAACTTAGAGTATAAGACATATGAAAAGAGAACCAAGTTAAAACTGAGGACGATAGGAATTGTTTTATTTGCCATATTTTTTATAGTATTTTTTGTGCAAGCGCTTGTTTCCAAGCAAACGAAGAGTTTAACATTTTCGTTGAACGCTTTGACGTATTTTTTAATCTTGTACTACTTCCTGGCGACGGTGTGGATGATTTATATAAGGCTAAGGAACAGGTCCAACTCGACTCTGTTCTTTTTTATTGGAAAATTGATACTCCTGTTGGGATTCATCTTTGAGCTGTATGACAATGTAAGCAACGACATCATAAACATGTTGATAGCCTACTCCTTTACCGTTTCGTACATTTTTTTTCTTTCGTTCAAAATATTAGAAGGGATAATAATATGCGCCATTGTGTTGGTATTAACTTCCTGGGTGTACTACGAGAAGAATAAAAAATTGGGTTCCATGTGTACCAAGTTTTGTGAAAATCCGTATCTCAGTTTGCAGCATTTGGAGGAGGTTAATATTTCATGTCTATGCAAACAACAGATAGTAACGTTCCTCATTTGCATACTAAGCTTTACCTTCATTTGCCTTTCGATGAAATATTATGAAATTTATTACCTCAAAAAGAAATTCCTCTTCAGATATAAACAGAAGGTTAATTTAACCAAACAGATTGAAATACTGCACACCATGCTCCCGAGCTTTTTGGTGGAGTACCTCCTGATAAGTGACCCCAAGGCGGATGGGATAATGGTTGGTAAAAATATATCTGGAGAGGACAGAGGAATCATATCAGTAATATTTTGCGACATTGATGATTTTCAAAGTATGGTTTCGACACTTGAGCCACATGCCCTTGTAGAAACTCTGGACAATTTATACCTATATTTTGACAAGTGTATAAAATATTTTAATTGCATTAAGATCGAGACTGTATTTGAATCTTACCTGGCTGCCTCGGGGCTCAGCGAGAAGCTGAATGACTGTGTACACAAAATTAAATATGACACCAGGTGTGCCATTAAGCTTGCCATCGCGCAACTCAGCGCCAAGTATTACATTTCTTATAAGGTGCTGGCTGGGGGGAGCAACAAGGTAGACAGTGACAATGTGGGTAATGACAACGTGGGGCATAGCAGCAGTCATACGCTCCCAATGCACAGCGGTGAGGATGCCCACTATGATAAGTACACCCACAAAAATATTAGCTTACGTATTGGTATACACACGGGAAAGGCCATCAGCGGCGTCATCGGGTCGGTCAAACCGCAGTACTCACTCTTTGGAGACACAGTCAACACAGCGTCTAGAATGAAATCCACTGCGCTTACGGACCATATTCATGTCTCCTACGATACGTATAAATATCTGGAGGACGATACGTCACTGGTGTGGAAGGAGCGCAAGGTGTTTATCAAGGGGAAGGGGGAAATGAGAACCTACCTGTTGGTCGACATTTTGGACGACGTCAAGAAGGTCGAGGAGCCCTCGGATGTGGGCTTCTCAAGCTCCACTCTGTTTGGGAGGGGGGACGACACGGTCGAAGGTGCACAAATGGAGAAGGGCATAGCGGAAGTTGCACACATGGAGAGGCGGGGCGAGGCGCAAACCTCCCAGAAGGCGGAGACCCCCCGGACGGATGATCTCGCCATGCAGGATGCAGGGGCAAAATCGCACTCGAAAAAAAAGACGAAGGAGGAAGGGCGGCCCAGAGAAAGTCCACACCAAATTAATGCCCAAAGTACACTAATTGAAGAGATACTGGATGTGTACGAGAGGGGAAGCGATTCTTGCAGCAACAACAACAGGTATTATTATAACAAAGCAGACAACGCAAGTGATAGTATGAAAAGTAATGACTTCCCTACCTACTTCAGAGCGTTTAATGATGGCAAGTCCAAATACCTTAGTTTGGATAAACTAAAATTAGCAGACAGTGTACGAAGGAAAAATCTATTCTACTTTGAATCGCCAGTAGGTGTAGGAGAGGAAATTGTTGGCGGGACAAAGGAGTCGGATGATTTTTTTACATCCCCTTATGTAGAACATGAACACCAGGTGGAAAGTACCAAACAAGTGAGGAGGAGTAAAGCCTGTGTGAAAAAAGCTTCCTCCAATTGTATGCACCAATTTGATACACCAGATGGGGTCATAAAGAACTACATAAAGGAGAGAAGAAATTACCAAAAAAAATTTTACGCGCCCCATTTTTATCTTGGAGATATACTTAAACAGTCTAATGAGTTTAAAAAGGGGGAGAAGAAGAGCAGGAGAAGGAGGGAGGAACGGAGGGGTAGACGGAAAGCCACACATGAAGAGGGGGTGTCCTACAATTTTTTGAATGGAAGCTTTTCATCCAACTGGGACTACTCCACAGAATCGGAGTTCTACTTGTATGATAAAAAATTAAGGCAGAGTAAAGGGCACATAAATTTTGACGACCTGTTTACCAAAATATACAGGAAAAAGAGGAACATTCTGCAAGGGGATATTCAGCACATGCCAAGGCAGGGATTCCTCTTCCCTAAAAATAAAGCAACAAAAGGAAAAAAGAAAAAAAAGAAAAAATTGCGCGCAGAGGGGGAAGTACCATACGATGATGAACAAAATGCCGGATCGAAAAGTGGGACAAGTAGACAATTTTTTCGTCATTGGAAGCACCAAGCAGAAAGGAAGGAAGCAGACATGGATACCAAAATTTCGAATGGCTCTTTTTGTGAGGACACGCGGAATGGTTTCCATCACTCAGGAGGCAGCAGCATGGGGAAGCAGGAAAACTTGGGAAGGGGGTATACGCATGATGCCCCCCTGCAGAGACCATCCATCAGTTGTTTGCTCACAAAGCGGGATGACCCCTTTCCTGAGGGGAACAAATGGAAGAGCGTAAAAAATGTGAAAGGGGAAAACTTGAAACGAACGGCCCCAATTAGCGATAGGGAACAAGAGAAAGACAGAACGGGCTGCCAGACGAGGCACAGCGGAGGAAATGCTGCGTCCAGTGGTGGGGACGTTAAGCAAAATAGACAGATGCTTATGAGGAGGCATAGATTGTTACGGGAGGACGTGCTTTTCGGCGCCGCCATGGGGAGCAACCTACCCCCACTCGAGAAGGAAGAACACACAAAAAGGAAAAAAAAAAAAAAAAAAAAATCGAGCAAAAATGGAACGCGGGTGAAGCAGCGTGAGGAGAAGGGGAGGCGCCCAACGATGTTCGATGAAAACGATTTGCTCAGGAAGAAAGAGGTAAATTTTGACAGCGTTCAGCAGGCAAGCTGTGTAGAATCTTCCGCTGTTGAGATCGGATATGGGGGGAGAGAAAATGCACATAAGGAGACTCCACCAGGAGGATCAAACCCCACCGCGGAGAGTGCAACAGTTGAAAAATCAAAATTGCAGAAGAAAAAAATGGTGCAGAAAAAAATAAGCTTTTATAGCTTGAAGGATGAAAGGAGTCTGAGTTCGGGGGGCCTCGGTGGAGAGAGCTCCTGTGCTTTGAAGTCTAACGAGACGAACAGCGGTCCGAACGGGGGAACTCACAGTTATGCAAAGAAGGAGCACTTCTTCACTTACAGCCCCGCGGTTAAAAAGAAGAGAGGTGTGTTAACAAAGGTTAATCAGGCGTTTAAAAAGTACTTTAAGAGTATGGACATGAGCGATCGAGGGAATCCGCCTCTTACGTCTCATTCCCCTCGACATGTGCGCACGCAGGAGTTGACTAGAGGAGAGGCAGCACTGCACAGTAGAGGTCCACAGAGGAGCGAAGAACAGATCAAAACAAGCATAACTGCAAGCAACAAAAATGTAAACTTTGCTCACAAGTTTGATAATTATAATAAAAATAAGCTTTTAAAAAAATTGACATCTACACTTGATGTGGGGAAAAAAAAAGTGAGCAATTTTAACAGCTTTTATTACAAATTTAAGGATGAAGAGTTGGAGGAAGAATACACACGAGGGTATTACAGAGAAATAATTAACATAGACTTGACGAAAAAGTTAATAATAATATTTATAATATCAGAAATGATCTTAAGCTTATGTAATGTGATAGAGTTATCGTACTATGACCATAAACTAAAGGGAAATGATTTCATTGTAATAATTTGGCTAATAAGGTGTATTTATTTATTCATAATAACATTCATATGGTTATTACTGAAGATAAAATTGAAGGAATACAAAAAGAATTCAAGCAAAATGATGTGGACAATATTTATTTTGAATATTTTTCTGTCTTCATGGTGCATTATCATTATGGATCTATCGTGTATTCATTATAGTAATTTGGTTGGGAATTCTAGCGTCAGATCCTTATTTTTTATGAAGGATGCAACTGAATTGATCATTTGTATGCAGTTGATATTTATTAAGAATATGTTATTTAAACATAAGTTTTTTTTTTTTGTATTTTTTTTCGTTTTTTTAATTTATTCCTTTTCAAAATTATTTAAAATACATTTGTGTGAAATAAGAATATGCTCCAGTATCCTTTTGATCCTTTTTATTAACATTTTATATTTTTGGTACACTGAATATTTAGACAGGACCCAATTTTTAGTTAAGAGGAGAAGAAACAGGATGGAGAAAACTTCACATGACTTTTTAACGAGGATATTACCGAGACAAGTTTTGGAAGAATACCAAAATGATAATTTACAGTTAACCTATAGTCATGAAAAAATTGCTTTTCTTTTTGCTGACATTGTAGGGTTCACAAGGTGGAGTAAAACTGTTCCTCCAAAGGACGTCCTAAAATTATTACAAAAATTAATATCTAAGATTGACAAGGATACTATCAAATTGGGATTGTTTAAACTTTTCACCATTGGGGATGCCTATGTGGCCACTAGCCAACCGAACTCCTCCATCACAGATGAGCACGAAGCTGTTGAGGGAATACTAAACATTTTTAAGCTAGCTAAACTGATACTACATAACATCAACACTATAAAAATTCAGTTTAATAAACATGATTTTAATATGAGAATTGGTTTGCACTACGGATCGTGCGTGGGGGGCATCATCGGGTCGGTCAGAATTAGGTATGATATGTGGGGCCTGGATGTACTTACAGCTAACAAGATTGAGTCTAATGGAATTCCTGGCGAAATAATCTGCTCCGAGCAGTTCAAGATGTTTTTCCTGGAACACGAGCCGCAAGCGTAAGTTGCGGTGTCCACCGTGAGCGCTACCGCGACATGATTCAATACCAATCATTTTGCCCGCACCGCGTTTGCGCAACAAATCTAGGGAACATTTTCACAGCGCGCTCATGAGGACTTCCAAGACTGAAATTTCCTTTCCCCTCTCCCTTTTCCAATTTCAGGAAGCTCAACTTTTGGTACTACAAAACAATCTACATAAGCGACAAGGATGTGAAGTTGTATGTCATAGAGGACAAGAACTATGAGGAGGACTATGACCCTAAGACGACCGACTATGAAACTTTGTTAAAACTGCGGGAGAGAAAGGCAAAAGGTGGGCCATCCAACTGCATGGATAAATGAAAGCTTGGTGATCGGTGCAATGAAGAGGTGGAAAAAATTCACTGTACTCTTTTTTTTTTTTGTGCCACCGGGGAAGACGGGGATATTTCATTAGTACATATAACGCATATATGTGGAAGCATTTTTTTTTTTTTTCATTCCGTTCATTTGTTTGTTTGTCTACGCTTGGGGGACCAGCCAATTTTAGACCCTTCCCAGGATTGCCCTCTGTACCCTTGTTCCTTCCTCGTTGTCTGTACTCTTAGCGCACAAGCGCGTGGATACGCACACAACACACACATCATTTTTGTATGCATTTAAACATCTACGTTAGGGGGTAATTAATATAATATTCAAAATTTCTTCATAAGTGTACAACTAGTTTTATGTACAAAAATAACAAAAAACAAAAAAAAAAAAAAAAAGGGAAGCAGAAAACGTTAACACTATATACTGTTACTGTAAAAATTTAATTATATTTTAAAAGGTACAAAGAGATAATTTTAAATCATTCCATGGTGAATGAAATAATTCGGGTAAGCAGCAAACGGACACAAACACAGCTTGTCGTGGTGTTCCCATTAATCCTCATATAAGCTTAGGACGCGCCACTCATATGCGCAAGTGCTCTTTCGCATATTGTATAGGGGAAGGAGCACATTGCACACACACTGGGGACAAAGGGCACAGTCCCTATTGAAAAAGTGAATCAAATGAAAAGGTGAAAAATGAAAATGAAAAAATACAACTTTCGCGAGCGCCGAAAATGGTCCATATTTTTGTTCCCCACTTTTAACATAACAGACAAAAGTGGGGAATATTTTCATTTTCTACATTTTAATAACAAAAAAAAAAAAAAAACACATGCGCACATAAACATAAGTATACACCCTGGGATGTGCGGGCGCACAGGTTCACAAGGCATATATATAATTTTATTCGTAAAGAGTTAAACTTTCACACTCTTGTTGGCTAATTTTTGTGTAACAGTGGGGACTCGAACAAATCCATGCAGACCTCCCGTATGACTAACCGCATGTTCGGGGCGATTGCACAGTTTGGTGCATATCTCAAGGGAGTCCTATCCTAAATCTCGGGGACACTTTAATCTCATCACAGTTCCTTTTGCGATGATGTATACTCATAAGTAGCTGGTGTGGTGTGCCCGACTGTGGGTTAATATCCCTCCACAGTTACGTCATTTTTACGCCGTGGTGAAAAGTTAACAGGTTCACAAAACAAATTCGTTTCCGTGATTCATCTATTGGTTTGAATTTATACTGTGTGGGTTTTTCCTTCTTAATCAAAAGGATACACGTTGCCATGATCTTACCGCGTCAATGCTGCTGGAGTTCGTCCCCCTTGGCCGAGTGCTTGGTGATGGTCCAAAATTGCTTCTTCGGCTCGCCTTTACATGGATGGTTGATTATTCTTCCCCGCACAGTCAATGGACACGCCACGTGATGTGTTGCTCATTTCTTACTTTTTTTCTTTCGTTTTTTTTTTTTTTCTTTAAAATTATCATTTTTTTTGTTAATTTTTTTTGAGTGTCTTGCACCATTCACACATCTTTCCATACTATTCATCATGCGGATGCTGCTAAAACTGGAATACCTGTAGCTGGAGCAGTTCTTACCGTTACTCATATCCTTTAGGTGCTTGGCCCTGTCGCGTTTGTTTTTGTAATTGGTTAGGGACAGGTTAAAATTGCTGCACATGCTATCGTACCTCCTTAAACTTTCTAATGTGTTGCTTCTTTTTTGTATTTTTTTTTTTTTTTTGCTTTTGCTTTCAGTGTCTGGAATTGCCTGCGTGTTGTGGCTACTCGGGCTGTTTTGCTCCTGAAGCATGATGAGCAGTTGGCTGCTCAGTTGGTTACTCAGATTGCTTGCATCCTCGAAGTTGTTCAGAGTGGTTATGTCGCTCGTTACCAAATTGTTTCCATCAAAGAGGGTTTTATTATTTTCAATTTTGAGGCAAAAATTGTCACTATTATTATCCACACTGCCGATTTCATTCAGGACAAGGGGATTCTTATCATTGCATACTGTAGGGTCCGTTTCGTTGACACTTGAATTGTCACGAAGTCGTTTGTGTTCCACGCCGATGGGGTTGTTGTTATCGTGTTTGTCATGTAGCGGGGCATCCTCACAATTTTCACCATTCGTGGTGTTCTCCTTTGCACCCGTTTGGACACCTCTATCATCAACGTGCTCCACGTTACACCTTCCCCCATCATCACCGCCACGACTCTTCATCTCCTCCTCACAAGGATCTATGGGGAGCCCATTTTTGGCCAACCCTAATATGTGCAACTCGTTCTTCTCTGCACCGTCCGTCTGATCCATGTGACACATCGAATTGGCAAAACTGGAGACGTCTCTCATCGGATTCATACGAAGGTCGTCTAAACTAGTGTTGAGTAAATATAAGTCTTTAGATAAAAAAGTGGGCTTATTATAATAACTCAAAAGAGGGTCATTTGTAATTTCATTAAAACTGCGATTCAGTTGGTTCATATTTTCTTTTTGCATGGGATCAAAATTTTGCACATTAGTTGATAAATTTTCATTGACCTGAATTTTATTAATATCATTTAGTACATCCAACACCATGTCATTAAATAACATATGCGAATTGGGTACAATGTTCTTTTGTTCCATGCTGTTCATATTTCTTAAAAAGAAATTATTTACACATTTGCTGTTTTCAAAATCTTTCATTTCGAGCAAAAAGGTATTTTTTTCTTTTATTTTTTTGTCCTTGTTGTGTGGCGTCAAATTAAAATTTTCCTCTTCATCACTGTCTGATATGCATATGACTTCATGTTGGCCTGCAGAGATGTTGCGAAGGAGGGGGGGGGGGGAAATAGCGTAACATAGGTATTGCAGTGTAGCTGTAAAAAAAGTTACATATAACAAAATACGCATTTACGTTTAAGAGGCATGATAAAAGAGGTCTCAGGAAAGGACGTACATGTAGATACATATTCACTCTTAGGCAACACGCAGCAACGCGGCCTGATATACATTCGTTCACATGTACTATTATTGTGCAAAAGGAATGGAAAAAAATTCATACACGTAAAAGTGGGGCGAAGAACGGCGGGTAAAGCTTTCGGACTGCTTCATTTTCTCCTGGCGTCTTTTTTTTTTTTTTTTTTAAGCGTGCAGAATGGGGTGAAATTTTGTATTTCTAACGGGCGAAATATTTACAATTGCTTGGGTTTATTATTATTCTTTTTTTGTTGGATGCCACTGTCGCGTTGGAACATTCACTTGTGCATTCGTTTGGTCTTTTTCTCTCTGCCATTCGTCAACGCTTTCCACATCACGCCCGTGTGAGTATGCACTTTCCCCTGCGCTTTTTCCTGGTTCCCCTCTATTTGTTCATTTTCTCCACGTTACAGCACGCAGCCACGTGTGTAGGTATGCACATATGCGTGAGGGTGTACATGTATGCAGGTCAAAGTACACTGTACCACATTACATGTACATGTATACGTATGCGCATGGGCTGACTCACACATATGGAGCCACGCCTTCGCCCCAATGCAGGTACACATGCAAACGATATCTTCCTCATTTTTCATGAAAATCTCATAAAACATTTTTGTCTCTTTATTGATAATGCTCTAATAAACTTTAAAACTCTAAAAAGAAATTACATTTAAAAAGAGATGCATTTTGCGGTCAATATGGAGGGGGGAAAAAAAAAAAAAAAAAGAATAAGCATTGCAAATTGTAATAAAAGTTTTTTCGTCATAAATGCCTTATGCATACGTGCGTTTAATTAATCTGTCGTTGCAAAACTAGTACGTAAACTAATGCATACTCTACCGATATGGACTATATTTTATTTTATTTTTTTGGTTTTTTTAAGGGGTAATACCTTGTACAAAATTGCGATTCTTTTGCGGGTTAACATTTTGCGGAGCAATGCTGGCGTCCTCATCTTCACTATCTGAATCGAGTATGATGACTTCGTTTTCGTTGAATGTGTTGTTATCGTTAGCCGGTTCATATTTTTTAATGTTCTCTGCATAAAAAGGGGGATGGGGGTGGAAACGGAGACGCACGTGAAAACTGTTATGCACGTGTGCAGGATTCAAACATTTTTCCATTGATAAATTTCCCCACGCCGAGTTGGCCACGATGAATTTGTCCACGCCGCGTTAATGGAAGACGTGGTAAACAAATGGATGCATTTTTCACTTACCCATGCTGGTCTCCGTCTTAATCTCCACTCTGCTTTTCTGCAGAGTTGCCGTGTCTACGTCGTCAATCTGCTTGACGACCTTTCCCTTGGCGTTGCTTTGATTAAAAATGATTTCTCCACTTTTGCTTAACTCGACCTCCTTAATATCTCTTGGCACCTGTGTCAATATGTACGTAATAAACATATCCACAATTAAATCTTTCGGCCGCAGGAATAAAGAACAGATAGGACACTTCCACCTATTATTAAAAGCTTTGGTTTTTTTTGTCACATCAATGAAGGACTTCAAATCAAAGCATTGAATGTGAGAACATTTGATTCCTCTACAAGGTATCTCAATTCTGTCTAAGGCGAAAGGACAGTTGAGACTAATTCTTCTATTAATTTCCATGCACATGACTTCATCATCATCATGCTTGGTAGACAAAATGGTGATTATTCTTTCTTTGGAGTCTTTAAAATTTAATTCACTTTTGGATATGACCTGTTGGATCAGGCTTTGTTCCGTTTCTATTTTACATAATAAAAAAGCTACAACAAATAATTTCGGGGTTTCATAATTCGTCATACTGATGTCAATATTGTTATGTCCTGTCTTTAATGTGTGTGTAATTTTTAAAGGGCTATCTCTCCTTTTGTGTTCCCATGTGGGTTCAAAAACCTTTTCTATGACATTTCCATTCACTTTTAAAACGAATGTTTTAGGCCATTCTTGTTTTATTGAAATATTTGTACTTAAATTTTTTTTATCCAAATGGATGCAGAAAATGATAACTTCTTTATTTTCATTTTTCCAGGTCTTTATATCAGACGCATTAATTACAAATTTTTCTGTGTTAACTGTAAGGCTTTTAAGCCAGAGTACTTTTTTCATTGGGTAGAAGGGGTCCATATCCTTCAATCGACATACTACACACAGGATTTTGTAACTCGCCGTGTCTTTATTGGTGCCTGGGTTCTGCACATAGCAACTTAGGTGCTGTAGCCTGTTGCACTCTATGCATTTTACTATCCCGTTTTTGCTGCTTATGTTTTTGGACATGCCTCCGCACACGCAAGAGGAGAAGTCGCTGTCCTCTTGGTATATTTTGAGCGCTACCAGGGGGGGAATAAAATAAAAAAAAAATGTAAAAGGGATACCACCGATGTGAATGCATCGTATATACAGCGCGCATGCTTACCGCCAACAGTTCGCGCAAAAAAATCGGAAAAACACACGAGCACATCATTGCGCAAACGCTCGTATCGAGCTACAGGAATGTGCACCAAAAGCGACGTCCCCTAGCAATATGAGGAGAGACTTACCCGTTCCCTTGCGCACTAGGGGGGAGGTGCCGCTCTTCTTTTCTGCGAGAAATCCATTGTTCGCAAAATTGAGGTTGTCATTATTATTACAAAGAAAAGTGCTATTTGCGCTGTTACTATTGCCGAGGAAAAAATTGTTACTACTGCTTAGGTACTTATTACTACTGCTATTATTACTATGCGTACTGCTGTGTGCACCGTTTTGCGCATTATATATATTACTGTTGCTTAAAGCGTTGTTTATTCTCTTCCCATTAATTAGGTCAAATATGGATGGCTTGATTGCTAAGATGAACTCATAAATTTGTTCCTCCCTCTCCACGTCCGTGATGTATTCTAAAATTCGTTCGACGATCGCGACTTTCTTTCCATGTTGTGGAAGCATGAATTTTCTGCATAGCTTATTGAGGTCATTTACTCTTAGTTTATTTAAGCTGCGAAGGGGGGGGAATTATAACCATGTGGGTGGAGGGGCTGCTTTGCTGTTTCGTCATAGTGCGTTATTGCACGGCGTTATGGTGCTGCGTTATGCAAGATGTTCTTACCAATCAGCCATGTTCGTCTTGTAAACATTGTAAGACATGGTTCCGCTGGGTTTTGTTTCGAAGGGAGTTTCCTAGACCAGCACACGACGCCCATGTGAATATACACATATACATGTGCGTATATATGTACTCTTCCTACTACCCCCCTCTGAGGCCCTTATATATGTATGCATATGTCCATATATGGGCGCACACGTGCAGAGCGATATCAACCGTGGCTACCTTTCTTACACACAAAAAAAAAAATTAATTAAAGAAAGTAAAAATAATCAAAGATGCGGATGTAGAGGTATGACATATGTAGAAAGGGGGGGGAGGAGGGGGAAGGAGGTCTACACACATGCACACTCAGGTGTTCGGTTTATCCTTGTGCAAAGGACACTATGGTGTGTATAAGTACTGCTATAAACGTGATAGTAAAAATGCAGGTACTCTATATACACATGTGAAGGAAACATTTTTCTTTCTTTTCTCATATGTAAAGACGCTATTTAAAAAGAATATTTTTTGATTAAAAAAAAATATAATAAAATAACAATCGTAAAAATAGGGCAAAAAAAAAAAAAAAAAAAAATACATACATGAATACATACAATAATTCGTAGGAATATGCATGTTATAAAAAAAAAAAAAAGACAAAATTTTTATTTTTAAAAGTTTCAAAAGCAAAGTGAATGGAAACAATATAAAACATCTCATTAGTGAGATAAAATTGGGATAACTGTTAATAACTTAAAAAGGACTACTAATTTTTATTTTCACGTGGGAAAATGGGTTTAAAAAGAGGGGGAAAACTGGCAGTGGCAGAAAGGGAAGAAGAAGAAGAAAAAAAAAAAAAACAAAGAGTACAAGAGGAAGTATAAAGATACTTATTCATTTGCTTACAAATATGTTCTTAGGAACATATTCATATGTACACCCTTGTGTTAATATAATTTACACGTGTACCTCCGTGCGAACATAATAGTATGTACACGCTCGTATGTACATACTGGTATGTGCACATTGTTGTGTACTGCTCAGCGTTTTATGTACACATTGCGCATAATACCCTTTGCTTAAGTTTCCACGTGGGGAATTTAAAACTCTCACGCCAGGGGACACAAACAAATACGAAAGGTACTTTCGGTAAAGCATGTAAAAAAATGGGGACAATGAAAAAGAAAAGGAAAAACAGTTCACACTGCTGAAATGCCAGAAGAACATGGACGAGAGGCATCATCAGCAATGCTAGCAAAAAATTCTCGGGGAAATAAAAAAAATGCACATGAATATACGTTGGAAATGTACGTATATGTAAATGTGCGTATATATAAGAGCGCATTTGTAATACAAGTGTGAGCGTTTGTATAATCTATTGAACTCGCGCTTGTACTTGTACAGTGCGCGTATTTATACAAGTACGCGTTATTTTCATCATGTACAAAAATATGACCGGCCTTGTTTTTTTACTGGCCTCCTTTTGCTAGCCTCGTCCCTTTGTTCTTTCATTCTCAATAAATATACGTATATTATACAAGTTCGCTTTTAGAATAACTCTTTAAACAAAAAAAAAAAAAATAAGAGCATAACAATCAGGAGATATTATTGAACATATGCAAATATGTTTTAAAACAACATTTTTGCCTATTAATAAATATGTACATAAATTTGCGTTCAAGTTGAAATTTTTTTTTTTTTCTTTTGTTTTTTTTATTTGGGGGGGGCTGTGATGCTGGTAGCTGCCTTGCTCCTATTTTCTAAACCATTCGAGATTTGCGAATCGTTTCAAAAAAAATTGGCGTTTTTAAAAAAACCTAGCTAACACAAAAATGCTGAATTAAGTGAAAAAAAAAAAAAAAAAAAATTGTTAGATTGTACACGATGTGGTTGCATATGTAGCGATTTGGCTTATAACTTTATAAGTGTTAATTTTTGAAAAATCCCCACCATTTTTTACTCATTTTAATTAAAAGAAAAAAAAAAAAAAAGAAGTTCAAAATATAGCATTTTTTTTTTTTTTTTTATTATTATTTCAACCGTACAACCTACTTTATTCTTCCATGCATAGTGTACACTTATATGTGGCTGCTGCTGTTTAATACAATGTAACGAATAATATAGCTCCCTCCAATATGAAAGAAAGAAGCGCAACAAAATTAAACGCTTTTCACAGGGATAAACAAACACGTTTAAATGTGCCAATGCGCACACCTGTGCTGCGGCCTGAGGTTGGGGGATAAGCTGGACTACATACACCGCGGGTATTTAATACAGTGGCAGAAATTTTTTCTTTTGTGAAAAAATAACACAAGCATTAAAGAACACAGAGTGCAGCAAAAATATGAGGCCAAGTAAAATTTGGGTTTCACGAAAAATGACGAATTCTCTTTGAGAATTTTTATTATCATTTTCGTATAATTCTGTACACTTTGTCTAATTATCGCTTTTTTTTTTTTTTTTTTTTTTTTCAAACTGGGGGAAAGCTTCCTTTCACCGTATGTGCATATCCATTCTTGCGCATTACCAAAACGTTACTGTTGTACGATTGTATGACCGCGCATATCTTTGTTTTTTTTTTTTTTCTCTTTCTGCCACATTGGCATAACGGCGTTGCTGGTTCCCCCACATTTGCCTTTACGCGCATATGTGAAGGGGGAAGGTACACAGTGGACTACACATTTTTTTTTTTTCGTATTTGACAAAATCGCGCGTTATTTCTGTTTTTTTTGCATAACTCCGGGGAATATATATATATATATGTGTTCCCTTTTAAAAAGAAATGTACAATTGTGCATATGTGTGAGAGGGTTACGCATTGTCACTGCAAGTGCGCCAGATATGTTGAGTTAAAAAGTGGAGATATCACAACCTTGCACTAATACGCGATAGGCCCTATTGTAAAGCAGTTATATAAACGCTTCTGTCATATTAATATGTAGCATCACGCTGGCCGCTCCATGTTGTATCTCCATGTGGAGCTCATAATGTACATGTGGTCACTTGGTTACAACGCTGCGGGCTCTCTTGTATACACCTGCGTGTACGACAACCCCGCACGTATGTCTTTGCAAAAGCTCCGGACGAAAAAAAAAAAAAAAAAAAAAAGTGGTCATTATTTGTGGTTAAAGGGAAGAGGGACTTACTCAAACGAAGGGTACCATGGTAGAGTTGCATTCAAAAAAACAAAATTGCCTACCTGTACATATGAGTTTTTTTTTTTAACTATTTAAGTTGCACATTATATGACCGTTTTGAAGTATTGCCTTTACGTTAAGGCCGATAAGTAATTGCAAAGTGTGTAATGGTCACGCAAAATGAGAAGTGCTTACCAAATGGATAAATTTTGTTCATGTTTAAAATACGTAAAAGGAAAGCGTAAAAAAAAAAAAAAAAAAGTGTATTCTTTAAGCATTAAGGGGAATTTTTTTTTACACAGGGGAATTTACGTTTAATGGATAATTTGGAGTGAAAAAGGCGTGAAATTGTAGGCCTTTGAAGGAATACTATATGTGTTCTTACGGACTTATGTAGGCACAACTGCGGTGTGTAAGATTATTTTTGTGAGTATCATTTGGTCGTTCGTCCGTTTGTTCACACTTACCATTTGGCCTGATGTTTGATGGTTACTACTGGTTAGAAGTGCCATGCAGCTGGTGTAATTTCTGTCCGCGTTAACCAGGCTTGCCGCTCTTCAACGGTTCAATGCGAATTGCGTTTTCGCGCAAGTTCGTTAAATTTACGGTATGGTATGTATGGAGGCAGTGTTTTTGTAAGAGTAACAGGTACTTGCACATGGGAGATATAAAAAAGGGGGGTAATAAAAAGAAAATTCTTTCTTTGTTTTTTTTTCTTTTAAATGTGTCAATATGCACATTATAGAGCGTACGCAGAGGGGCTTTACACATTTACGTGCCAGCATATGGTTAACATCGTTGAAGAGTTCATGAAGAGTTTCTTATGTCATACGATATACTGATCACATGAACACACGTTTGCGGGTCAAGAATTGCTTCCACCTCTGCGAGCGTTCGATCGCATGTCTATGCATTCCGCTACTTGTTGCCTGTTGACCACACGTGTGAGTGAAAAGTATTACAACGCGTACGTCCAAATGTGTATGGTCCGTGCGCTTGTTTTATGAAAGCACATGTTTTTTTAAAAGTTTGCGCGCAATCGGGCTTGTGCTTCCATTGGTTCACCGTTACATATGTTCACTTGCACATGCAGGCACACCATTACGCGCCGTCCCGAGCTCAGGGCATGTGCTTCCCTCCAAAGCGCACACCTTTGCTTCCACTTCGTTCATCGGAGGTACGCAAGGAGACCGTTACTCCACGCATGTGAAGAAGCGAAATGCAGAAATTGAAAAACATATTGATCCCACAATTGAGAACATGTGACATGTACATGCAATAAAAAAAAAAAAAATGACACAAAAGTGTACCAAACGGAAGAGAATTTGTGGGCAGCACGAAATTGGAAAAAATTACGCGAACTGCAACCAAACGAAGTGAACAAAGTGCGCCTTGTGAAAAAAGAACGATTTGACCAACCTGATTAAGTAACTAACCTGATGAAGTAACCAACCTGATGCAGTAACCAACACGAACAGTTGACCAGTTTTACCAAACTGAGTGAATCGAGAGAACACAATTTACCGCGTGACGCGCAGAACACAAAGGCAAAATTGGTGTACGGCAAGAGTTGGAAAAAGGGAACCCCCGGTCGACGCTTAAAAATTCGAGAAAAAAATCGCTTCAGCCCAGGTAAATTTATATGCTAGCTTATTGAACATATAAATATATATAATCAGTACATATGCGTATGCCCCCCTGCCGCATGTATGCTTCTGGAACAAGAAAATACTCAAACGAATAGGAGAAGCGCGTACGTGTATGTCGTCATGGCCGCTTGAGACCCCCCGGTTAGCTATTTAAGCGGGAAAAAAAAAAAAAAAAAAAAAAAATAGTGGCATGACTGGGCACGTGTAGGATAGGGATCCCTTTTACGTAGGTTTGTTCGCACCTTGGTTTGAAGGCCGCCTGTTCCTTCTTTG